GAAAAGCCGTTCCCTCGCCCAAAATCATGCAACTTCTTTACTAGCCGTGGCCTCTAGCGGCGTGATTGGTAATCATAAAATTAAAATGTCAATACAATTGCCTTCAAAACAAATACTTGTAATCATTTTCTAATAGTCCTAATTGCATGCTACAACTTCAGTGTTTATATAATTTCAATGTTTAATAAATGACGAATTAAATAATTATAATTGAACGTTATGACTAAAGCATATTAGTAAAATGTGACGAAGCTCCGAAAGGAACAACTCGCGGCTACTAGCAGTATGTATATACGTATGACAATTGCGAATTTTAAATCAATATGAATAAAAAGTACTATTAAAATTGTGCAAAGGCCTACAGCATTTTGATTGACACATAACTAAATACACGTACCAAAGCGCGAACCCTGAGGCTACCCTGAATGACTGAACTAAAGTTCGATAGAGAACAAACCGATATATTCACACGATTTAAATCTGGGTGATTCGAACCCGGGACCTACTAACAAAATGCTCAGATTGCTAACGAATGTGCCATCGAATTATCACAGAACCAAAGCGGCGCATTTTATTTATTTATTCCAAATAAAACAAAAAACGAAAGCAGTGTATAATTGTCGCTATGTTTCTATTTAGCTTGTCAGGAACAAAAAGCTATAGCCATTTGGCTTAGAAGGTAGGAAGCTACTAAGTCACAGCAATAACAGAAACACGAAGCAGCAATATTGTGGCGGACATATGTCTTATCATAATCGCAGACATTTATCAAACTAACTACCACGTCGCGATGCGACTCACGCGACAGACATATAAGCGACGCACGTTGTGGAACTTCGAAGATAGCGAATAAAAACTTTAAATAACAACATCACCTACACATTGTACGTCCTTTACTTTTTTTTATACACAGGAAAATACGTTACGCATACTCCGCCGCGGGCGATGACATGGCGGGTTATGTGGGACTCTCCTCCGTTGACCCACCCGGCGATACGAACTCGCCCGATGGATCCTCAGAGGCCTACCCATTAAAAACCTGTGTATGCACCCACACCCATCGGTGCCAGCTCGTGGATCCCGTTAAGACTCACGTCCTGCCGGGGACGGATCTCCTCTAAAGAGAGAGGGTCAAATCATGTTCCGCCGCAGCGCGGTGGTGCAATACAGCATATGGACGTCCCACGTTTCCCGGGGGTTGTGAACCCTCTTTTGATAAGAAGATTTCATCACAATGTTTCCCTTTAACACGTATTGCTACTAAACATTAGCAAATAAACATAGCTTAAATAAAATTATAAACGTGCCGCTACAGGGATTCGAACTAGCATAGTAAGCGTTCCCCCAATTCGCTACCACCGCTTTTTTAAAAGTACAATACTAAATTGTTCCGTGGTATTTGTAAAGAATTTATACCTATTTAGCTATAGAATACGCACCACAAATACGATCGATACGATCCGTTAGAACTGGCAAAAAAAGGACGGAAAGACATAATTTTCAAAACTGAACTATGTTCGTCATTCGCAAAACGACATCAACTATTTTTGGGATCAATGTTGTATAATAATGTAAACCGAGTACTAAGTACTTACAACTGAAATCCTATGAGGAAACTGAAATAATGCTAAAAACAATACAATAATAAAATTTTTAATTAACATAAAATACAGGAAATAAAACTTTTCAACCGTGACCATGGGATCTGTAAAGTGCCCGAAACTTTGGTTTGTTTGAAAAACAAATATACGCGATTTAAAACCGGAAAAGTAGTTTCATTTCCTATGTGTAACAATCGCGTAAACCTAAGAACTCGACAACATACAATAATTTATGACAGAATAATTGCAAATAAAATAAAATAAAATGTTCCTTTCTATTACTATTTTTATACTTACACTTACCCGCTCACTCTCTCTCTCTCACGCATGCATACATACACACTCACACGCACGCACACACACACACACACACACACACACACACACGCACACACACGCACACACACACACACACGCGCGCGCGCGCGCGCGCGCACACACACACACACACACACACACACACACACACACACACACACACTCAAACACACACAGCCACACACAATTTACACATTACAACGTATTGTACTGATTTAGCTTTCTAACTTTTGTTATCTTTTCTTTTTATTATTTTTGTTATGAAGTATTAATAGTTATTAACTGCACCTTTGTCACATATTTCTAGATCGAGTCTGAGAGTGGGGGGTCGGAATACTGTACATATATAGGAATATAGTACAGATTCCGCTCTCCCACAATGGTCAAACACATTGTCATTTCAACTTCTGTATGTATCTATTATAAGATCAATACCATTGTGATTGGAAATAAAATGATTATTATTATTGTTATTATTATATATCGGAACCAAATTATGCACCAGAAACTCATTTCGCTTTCCGGTGTAACACGTAACAAAATATATAAAGCGACTCCACAAACATAATTAGTTAAAACATTGTAAAAACTTTATGATGTAATTTTTATATGGGAAGTTGATACATTTGTGTGTTTACTTTATAAAGTACTAGCAAAAAACACTTACCGTTTTGTAATGTTCGTAGTACATATTAAGATACACTTGTTGGTGGGTAGTCACTGTCTAAAAAGAAAGGATTACTTTATACTACCCTATGAAGTTCCTCTACGACGTTAAGAGAAGCGCCATCCATGAATGGAATGTACACAGATTACGAGGTAAGTGACACTTGACGTGTTACGTAGCGTCGCAGTTTAGGAACTGCAACGCTACGAAAACGTTAGCTGAATGCCGATGGGGACATCAGAAGTTTTCCAAGAGTCTTAAACCTCTATCCTTTATTTACCTTTATTTTCTTTTATCGCTAGTTGGAAGTATAACTTATAAATTAATGGCATAGGTACATGCCGCCACAGGGATTCGAACACTCGACCTCTTAATCGAGAAGCTACCATCGGATGTTGCTGTTCCTTTCTCGCACTCGCAGTCAGTGGCGATACGTCTTTAACGTAAGCCATATAATGTCTATCTGCGAAGTCGATCAAATAGCGAGGATTTCGCTCGAAATGAAGACTTCAATGTTTGCGGACGTCACCAAATTGTTTTATCGTCAAGCGAGTCATGGCGTCACATCATATCTTAATAGAAGTACCTTGAAAATCAACTAGATTGTAGCTTTACCGTAATCGCCGACTTAAAATCAAAGTGAAAATATCGTATTTCATAGGTAATCAATTAACACTTGGAATCTTCACATGGATTGTTGCCGCGGCTGGCACCACACCAAGTATCTCAATATTTAGTGTTCTTTTTATTATTAGTGTGAATAGTTCCTGTTTTAATTTTATCAAATTTTTGTATATACATTTCCCTTTTGTGTTTGTTTGTGTTTTTGTTTTGTAATTATTTATTTATGTTTTACGTTGAATGTTTTTATCGTGTTTTGGTTTAGTTCTGTTTTGTTCCGTTTTCTCTTTTTTTTGTCTTTTGTCTTTTGTGGTGTCATTGTGGTAAACAAATAAATGTATTTTCTTTCTTTCTTTCTTTCTTCTGATTGAACACCACTCATTCACAGGGCCGATTTCCCCGGAGAAGAATAAATAAGAAACTTTAACAGACTGTATTTTGTAAATAGAAATTAATTCACATCTATCATTTACAATAAACTGCCTCCGTGGCCGAACGGTTATCAAGCTGGACTGCCACGCAAAAGTTCCGGGTTCGATTCCCTGTCCAGGAGAAATATTTGTATGGCCTACATTTATTGTTCTCGTCAGTTTGGGTGTAATTTGTGGTTGTCGATGTGTGTGTCCATGGCACCCAGGGTTTTCCTAGTGCGGGGCTATGAGTATTTGCCTAAAAAAAATTCGCTTCAATATCATACATATAAACAAAATGTAGAAATAAACATTTTTGGTTTCGTGACAGGCGCTAATAACGGACATTGCAACTGACAGTCTCCGTAACACTGTGAGATAATGAATGTAAAAAAATATGAATTACATCCCTTATTCTTTACTGTTATTAATTTGTCAAATTCATTATAGACTCTAACTCGGAGACTTAAGCATATTTATATCGAGGAGGACGCAACAAACGGCTGAACGAATTTCTGCGAAACGATACAAAAACATGTTGGACTTTCGCCGATTTATCTTTCAGGAATTTACTTCCAGATGATGTACTGCCGAGGTGGCAGCGGCTCGGCTGCTCCAGAGCAGAGATTCCAATCTCCCCCCAAACTATACTATTCCGCAGCCTAAATAGGTACATAGTATCTACGCGTAGCAACAAGGTTGAACCAGTATTAATATCGAAGAGAAATGAACAAACATTGATAAAAGGAAAATATTACAGGAATTTTATTTCAGTGATAAAAGATAAAAAAGATACAGTGATAAAATATAGACTTCTAAGTTCCAATAATAGTAATTCATCTCGAAACTTGGATTACTTAAGTGTGTGCTTAGTCTACACCGATAGATAGTTGGCACCTCATATCTCGGTGTCGAATCGGAGTGCGGCGAACGCGAACGGCGACGCCCAATATTGGAAGCAACAATAACCGAAGATTGATGTCGGAGGCCTCGCGCCTCCGCGCCTCACGACCCCGCTCCCCGCGCCCTGCGACATCCACGCCTGCCAAACGAAAATTTGTTACAGTGCTTATATGCTTATATTCTTTTTGGTTAAATATTTTTTTACTTTCATGCCAAAAGGAACGACACTTATCGACGAACTCTGTCAACTCTGTCTACAACTCTGTCTCTGTCCTACCTGTGACCGGCGGCCATTGTGCCGTTTTTTATTTTCCATCGACACATTTGATAATGGCATATCTTTACAATTTTTACAACTACTCACAGACGGTGTGCGGCAGCCACATTCGGCACTTACTCGTTTAACACAGAAGGTGCGGTGGTTTGGTACCGCCACAAACCGCGGCAGCGCCAGCGGAGGTAGTTCAAAATCAAATGTGTTGTTCGTTTCCTTCGGAAATTTATGTATCTATGAAACATAGTAAAAGTGATCATTTACAGTAAGTACAAGTGTACTTGACATCACGCTGATGTTATGTGTTATTTATCTTATAAACCAAGCGTGAGCTCACGAATGAGCCCAATTTAGCGCAGCGATCGTATGATACATTTGTTTAGAGTGAAAAGAGACATCGACATCCAACACAGAATTTTCAATTTCTAATTAAACATTTATTTCATGATTTTTAAACGTTGTTATGTTCGTAGACTTTAAATAAAATACCAACTCAAATTTTAATACAAAGTAAGAGTTTTCAACTGCATTGTGCCCCTTGGGGTGTCGGTTTAGCCCAAATTTACCGAGACCGCTTCATACAGGTTATCGTGAAATCTTCATGACTTGAGTCGTGATAATTACTGCTCAAACTCGTTGTTTGATGATGGTGATATTAGTACCAAACACCACTTATCTGAATCAAAGCAAGCCAGCAGTCGCCATTTCTACCCTTTCTTAAACCTGGCGTATCATATTTCTCGCGACGCGAACTCGAGAACAACTTAAATTTGTCCGGATAAGTCGAGGACATGACGCGAACTCCACTCAAGTTAGAGTTATTACTTAATTTATAGTGGCTGAGACAAATGCGGTCCCCGCAGGACATAACTTTTTATATAAATCCCTTTCGCCATTTCGCCGCGTACAAACGCGCCTCTACCACCGGCCGCCACTATTTTTCATTCGATTTTAAGCTATTGTTGTTCACCTTTTATCCTTGATTGATATATTAAAAGTTATTTTGAATGAAAACGAAGGACGACCGACACGTACGCTACGCCCGAAGCAAAACGAATGTGATAAATTCTAATAATTAACTGAAGGAATTTATCACAACAATTTTTGCAATGGGTGTAATCGATTGATGGTAATCATTATGACTTGAACATCCAATAAACGCGGATGAGAGCGTCTCTTACTTTTGTGTAATCATTGAACTAGTCCACAAACATATCCGACGTGTCGCGATGCGCCCCAAGGGGAGACACGCGATGTTAGATGCTCCCACATCGGTGTCACGAAAACTAGGAACGAATATGATCACCTTTAAACCAAATGGCAACACACAGTATCCTACGTTATATCCTAAACAAAGTATAAGTGCATTAAAAAACTTTTTAGTTAGATAGTACGAAATGAAACAACATAAGAAAAATGATGTGATATGATTGTGATCTTTTAAATAACAAACATATGAACGGTTAACTTCTGACTGACCCCAGTATAGTACCTGGTAAAGGAATTCATTCCATAGTCTGGGAAGCGAATTCTCGTGTAGGCGTTTATGGAATATTTTTCGACTTACAATTCCAAATATCGATTGTTGTATTGAATGCTGCCCGTAATTCGTTTAAAGAATTAGCCAATCTTTAAAAATTACATTTATTGCAGCGGGGTGTAATTGTGGCTATTGAGTCGAAATAACGAATGTCCTTAAAGTATTGTAGGTATTTATATGTACAATGCTTTAGACAATCGTTATTTCGGGTAATCGTCTTGTGATGTCATGAAGTGACTCCGCGTGGAACGTATGATCCCCACGGCTATAATAAATAAAGGCTTTAAGGGCTCCACTGCGATGGACACGACTCAATTAGACAATTAATGCGTGTTTATTGCTAAATGCTAGTGTGGAATTACGTACCAGCGGCAGCGAGTCTTCCCATATACTACAAGGTGTATAAAATCCTTGACCTTTACGCCGTCTACCACGTCCTAGAGGAGGTCGGTTCGTGTATAGAATATTGGCTATACGTACAGAGAAGGTTAAGAACTAGACGCAGCACAATTTTGATCAGGATTTGACTACCTTTGTGGGTCTGTGAAGGCCGGGATTGCCGACGATCTAATTTGCATGTACCGGCCATTCCATGCGAATGAGATTGATAACTGACCCTACTATACTACGTGTAGTCGATATCGTACTACGCTTGCGCACGGGTAAAACCGTAGTTTCCTAGTACTAGTTTCCACAAAATTATATTTCATACAGAAGCACATAAGAAAGCCTGGATTCTTATTTGGATTTATACTTCCAATAGTTATTATGATTAATAAAATATATCGATACCATTGGACTCCACTAGCTTAAAGGTCAAAATGTCGAAAATGAAATATAATATGTTACAACTTTTGTACAAATTACTAATCAAAATCAGATAGGTACTCCAGAAAACTAATCAGTATAAATACTTGGGTGTTATGATTGACTCCAAACATAGCTTCCAACCTCATATTGATTTGTTGGTTAGTAGAGTCCGAAACTTAATATATGTTTTTGAAGCACTCTGCAATATCACCGATTATATTCTTCTAAAATCAATCTACATTTCTCTATGCCAGTATATTATTACGTACTGTATCACGACCTGGGGCGGAGCTTGTAAATACAGCATGCTAAGACTATAACGCTCTCAAATAACTATGCTTAAAGTTTGTAACTCTCTACCTTTTAGATTTCCTACCCGCTCCGACAGTGCGACAATTGTTTATTCAAAATATCATTAAAAACAACACACTATTTTACCTTATAAACCATCACTTTTAGAACCGAGACATAAATAATCTTCCCATCTAAAGCTGTATCAACTGGCTATGCCCAAAAATTTTTCATTTTTCTCGGACCCTTTTTATCCGCTCACGTGATACATGCAGCCGTAGACGCATACCACACCTAGAGGTGCCGGTGATGATTTTATACCGATTTATCGGATATCGAATTAAATTATAACGGGTGAAAGAACTAATATTAATTACTATTTCGGTAACTACTCAAGCAAACTATAAGGTTTTTAATGCCTGGGTCTGTCATTTAAAAAAAATAAACAACTTCAAAAATACGTCACGACAATCGCGTGTGTTATTGTTTGGGCTGATGATTACGGTGTTTATTTATTGAAAACAGCGTTTAGTAGTGTAGCGTTTTTTAAGTTTACCCTGAATATAAATGTTTACAAACTATACTTTAAGGAGTAATTTCATGGTAAACGTTAGAACCACTCAAACGGAATATTATCATATTTATCCAAGTACAAAAAAAATTTCATTAGTGCTTTTTAAGTGCAGGATTTGCGGTGTATTACTGCATTTTATTTGAGATGTTTTTGTTGGTAGTGCGGAGGGTATTTATTTAGCAATGCAGAATAATATTTTTTATTTATAAAAACTTGTATTTAAACTGAATACCTTTCTAGTTTGCGAAACCAAATAGTCGCCATTTTGCGGTAGGAGGAGCGCATCGCGTGAGCGGTTATAGAATAAAATTAACAACAAAATATCAGTATATAATGTCAACAAAAATGAGTGCAAAAAGAAAGTAAGTAATTATCTTCAAAAACTGAATTGTGAGGATACCGCAGCTCTCCTTTCTATTATCACTTATGATCACATCAGCACTCCTCTCTATCATCGCATTAGGCCCCCAGCACCAATTTCTTAGTTTTATTTACCTAATAAAATCATCGCAACATATACACACATATAACAACAATTCGATTCAATTTTGTAATAAGATTTTTCAATTCAAACTTTTAAACGTATACAGTTTCCCATAAAAGAGTCGTTTACCTTGGTTAAACGAAATCGTGGTGCCATGAGTTTGGACTTAGCTCTAAGATTAATACAATAATTAAAGTAGTCTCTCTTGTATCTCCATTATCCACTTGAAGTATTCTAATAGACGCGGGGGGTGCCTGAAGACCTGTCATACAAGCTAGACCTAGTTTAGGCTCCAGTCTCCCACAACTGTAACTAATTCTAAGTACCTTATTCTTAATATGCGTCCTGTAGCTTTGTGAGGAGAATATAAATAATTTTTTAAATTGTATTTTGTATTGCATTTGTTCGGTTACTTCAGTTTTTTGAGCTTCAATCTCAGGTAAAATATTTAATTTTATGTATGCTTACTTTACGCACAAAAACTGCAATAGCGTTATGTGAGACTGTTACTTACACCATAAACCGTTGTGATATTTGCAACAGAGTGGAGCGTAAGGGTCATTAGTTTTTACAGCAGTGCAAATGCCCTTCTGAAATACACGTTTGTACGTAGTCGTAACTTAACTATGCCATAGAATGAAGAATAATTAAATTTTTCTCACAAACATTAACAAAAAAGTCACAGCAACTTTTCTGAAAAAGAGACAATTTTTGCTCGTCCTGGTATTTTGTCCTCACAACTCACTATTGAACGAACCAAGGTTCACTATGCGGTATGCTATTCGCTCCTAAGTATAAATATAATAATAAAGTAAATATGAAATACGAATATATTGTATCATCCATGGGAGAAAGATTGATTCCGGCCTCTACAAGACTCACTTTAAAACCGAAACATACAAAACTGTCACCAATCTCAGCCAATGGATGACACGCACCGCAGAACGTGCAAAATTATACCCCCACCTCTTTATTTATTTACCAATTACATTAAGGTGCAATCCCTTAATTGTTCTTGAAACAAACATTTTGTGTTATTTATTTTCTCTATCATTTGCTTAGCTAATGAAATCATCCAAATTAAACGTAACCGAAGCGCTATTAAATTTCTATAGTATACAATATTTAATTACATAGTAGTAATAAAGATTCTCAATGTAGGTCCTCTGACTGACGATCACAAATAGGGCTGTATGTCCGAAAAAGAAGTGTTAAGGATTCGTTAAAATCCCCCAAACTCTACTTAAGGCTCCATGCAACCTTGATTTGTGATGTGGAAGCACCCTAAGTGCCCTCCTCTGCGCCTAGGTCGGTGTAGTGCTCAAAAATGTTTACAAACTACTTTGGTATGCAAGCACCTGGGCTCTGGAGATAATATGAAAGTACCAAAGGTAAAGGCGAGCGTATGTTACGAGAAAAATAAGCGAGCATTCCTCCGCAACAATCGGCTTCAAGAATGTATTGATTGGTGCACTGCAATGCCTCACCCACGCCGTTCTGAGCACAATAATGTTCGTTTATTGAAATTGTACAGTTGTCCCTGTGTGGTACAACAGGGGAGATACAATTATGAAGGTGTAGATAGATTTCTGCGTTTAAGAAAACATCTTCACCGCGCTGTCAAGTAGCGTTTATTAACTGTGACAAATATTACACTTAAAATTTTATAAATTAATCACCAAAAAACAAGATTACGAAGTAAATTTAGATAAATTGACTTTTTTGGAATGTGACAAAAAGAAAAAAGAGCTAACATTCATCGAAGCGAAGTGCTGCTCATTCTTGGACTGCGCGAGCGCCATTGTGAGGCACAAAATGGTCCAAGCGGATACCAATAACTTTGATTCACAGGGTAATGGAACAATTAATAAAACATTTTTGCCATTGTACCAGCAAAACTTACGCGTAGACAGAGCCAAGGGGGTGCTCGTTGTTACCTTTGTGCTCTAAAAGGATGACTTTGGCAAACAATATACTCGCTACAATTTGCCTGAGGTCGCCGTGACCGGCGGTTGGATCGTCTTAAATAAACATTTACTTCAGCGTGAACAGAGTGGCAGGATATTTAATAAAAAAAATAAAATATAAAAATTTGCTTCCGACCGGATCGAAGGAATAAATAGTTGGTATAGCGTCTGACACGGTATGCAAGAAGACGTCGGTTCGAATCCGACCGGATCGAAGGAATTTTTTCTGAGTGTTTTTTCTGAGTGTTCGATCTTTGTATTAATAATTATAACAAACTAGTGGAGTAATATCACAAAAAATAATTGAATATCAACTCAATAAAAATTTAATTAACACAGTGAATAGCGACATCTCTCGCCAGGACTGGTAGCTGTAAAGGTACTAACTGGGTGATAAATCTGTAATAGATTTCTCATAGATGGCGCTACGACTAAAAAGTCGTTGAAAGACCAAGTACAAAGACACGACGCAAGCACATAGAGAAATTCGTGAGGTCCGTTGGTTCGTTCCGTGGCTTAGTTGGTATAGCGTCTGGCACGGTATGCAAGAAGACGTCGGTTCGAGTCCGACCGGATCGAAGGAATCTTTTCTGAGTGTTTTTCTGAGTTTTCGATCTTTGTATTAATAATTATAGTCAATGTAGTTACGTAAAATAATGTAGGAACATATTAAATAATATAATAATAGTTATGTCAATATAATGGTTGTATGCATAAAGTTTATATATTTATATGTAATTTATTCGTTTCTGTAAAATAATATTTATACCTAATAATGTATAAATTACAACATATATTACAAGACCATGCCCTATATTCTTCAGTGGAATAATATGCATTATCCAACAAAAGTCTTTCAGTAGACGATCAAATGTTTCATCGTTAGGCTCATTTTTTAAGTCAACCGGTAGGTGCTCATAATAAGCCGGGCCGATTACGCGCGGATTTTTTTCAGTAAGTGCTAACCGCCGCGGTACGACCCTCAGTCGTCCTGTGGAGCGGGTGTTATAACGGCTTTCATGCCTTTCAAAGTTGTGTAAGTTTTTTCGTATGAATGTATTCCATATAAATACAACGAATACATGGTCATTATTATCCCGTGTCTCACAAATAATTCCCTACAAGAGACTCTCGTGTTACTCCGGCAAGTATCCTCATTGCTCGTTTCTGAATAACAAATACCCTGTCAGAATCAGTGGAGTCACCCCACAGAATGGTACGACATTATGGAGTGGAAATATGCAAAATATATTTGTCGTAGGATGGAATCTGTAACGACAGGTTTTAATTTTTTTAGTGCGTAAGTCGCAGTACTTAGTCTACCACACATAGAATTTATATGACGCTTCCACGTTAAATTTTCATCCAGAATGAATCCTAAGAACTTTCTGTGGTCAGTTATGGGCATTGGACTATCCAAACACGTAGCCTCGGGATTGATCTACCAGAGAACAATATTAAACTAGATTTAGCAGCATTCAGTATGAGACCATTGGAAGTGAACCATTTCATCAGACTCTTATAGACATTTCCTACTTTTATATTGAGTTCGTCGTAAGTTCGGGCGCACACAATTACAGTGGTATCATCAGGGAACAAAACCAATAAGCCATCAGTGATATGGGACGGTACATCATTAATAAATGTCAGGAAGAGAGTATTTCCCAGTGAAGATCCATGAGGAATTCCAAGGTTCACGTCACCTCCACTACTGCTTAGTTTTTTCCCACCTGATATTACTTCAACTGTCTGAATTCGGCGTGATAAAAATGATGTCAAAAGATCGTGTGTTTTGCTTCGCTTACCATAGTGACATAGTTTCTCCAAAAGTAATTCGTGACTGATTACATCAAACGCTTTTGACAGGTTACACATCATTCCTGCTACTTTGCACTTACCATCCGACCCCGTAATTATTGAGTCCACCACCCTCTGTGCAGCCGCTGTGGTGGACCGGCACTTACGATAGGCATATTGGTTGTTTGCCACAGGATCATTGTATTCTAAATGTGACATTAGGTGAGCGGAAATAATCGACTCAATTTGCTTTGAAATATTAGGTACAATAGTTATAGGTCTATAATTATCAACTCTGCTCATCTCACCTTTGCCCTTGTACACAGGACATTCACGCGTGCTCTTTAGGACGTTTGGATACACTCCCGTGCAGAACATTTCATTGACGAGTTGCACCAGTAGAGTTGATATGACTGGCCAGGCAATTATAAGTACATT